CGTATGTTGTCAGGTTGGTGACGGGGTTATGCGTCGATCGAGACGATTGTGGACTGTTTAATCTTTTAGTGGCAGTGAGGGCGGTGTTGCCATATAGGCACGTTATTCTTCTGATGAGTTAGTGGGTTGCTGTGACTGAGATCACAAGTCTTATGTGCACGGTGTTCGAGGTGGGGTCACTCGGGGAAGTAGAGATGGAATCGTCATTTTACGACATAGAGACTACGGTTTGGGAGGACTGTTCCTAGGTAGATTGGAACGTGGTGTCCAAGAGGCAGTGATCACTCCTAGTGTTGGGGTGTTGCGATTATTGATGCTCTTGAACGGTAATTGAGTTATGGATAGTATTCTAACACTTAGCATGCATGTGTTGTGTAGTACAGTTGTTTCGTTTAGCATTGGATGCACGAGGTTCCGTGTCAGGTCCCTGTAGGATTCCCGATGAGCATTGGTAATGTGAGATGGTTAATTTGTGGCGAGATTGTATATATTTGAGTTGGTTACTTCATACAGGTATCTTGTTTGGTTTATCTCCTTGTATGTAATGAGTTCAGCTTCATCTCGAGTGAGATTGGATGTCCATTATTAGACGTTTAACAAGTAATGTGTGACAAGGTGTTAGGTACATCCGGATCCAGATTGTCAGTCTCTTAGGAGAGCAAGGTTTAGTACCCTTTTGTTTACGCTGGTCCTTATAAGGACATTAACGGTATGAGTGTTGTTTCTCCATTTAAGAGTTGTGCGCGCCCACAGATGGGTAGGTTTGTGGTAGTTTATTTCTATTGTAAGAGGTATCCAGTAAGGGTTTGATTTGACTTATTCCCATGGAGGGAAGTGAAGTCTTTAGGTTTTAGAGTGCTTGTTCTGAGGGTGGTCTTGACCAATGTAGCATAGGGCAGGAGTTGTCGAGTATTAATTGTGTAGTCTTGTGTCTGATGCTAGCAGTGATAGCTAAGAGATGCATCGTGAATCGTAAGTTCCATGATGATTAAGGGATGTGATGTGAGTAATGTGCTCAAATGTTTTCATTGACATTGGGTTGAGTAGTGTCGTGAGGACAAGTGTTAGTATTGTTTGAGTACTATGTAATTAGAGAAGTGAATGTGGGATTCCTTTGAGGAGCAATGGTAATGATTTACTCTGGTTTTGAGGTTGTAGGAAAAAGATAGTCTTATGAGGTATCTTAATGAGGTAAGTGTTGGATCGAATGATATCATAGAATTTTTCTCTAGTACGGGTTGTTAGCAACGGACCGGAGATCTCTTATGCTTGGTCAATGATTATAGTGTTTGGTACTGATTTACTTTTAGCTCGTTACAAGTTATGTGAATAAGGTATAATTAAGATTCTTGGAGCAGTGTGTATAATTGTATGACGGTCGAGGTTACGTAGAACAGTGAATGTATAATGAATGACTCTTATGGTTGTCTTATGGACTGTGCGTGATGTTATGTTTGAGGTTTAGACCTGAGGACGAGAACGACATTGGTATTGAGATTGGATTATTGACTAGGATGGCCTGACCAACCATATCTCCTGAATCAGTCCTTCTTTAACACGATGTCGAGTCAAGATCAATGATTATTCTGGGTGATTAGTGATAGTGAGAGCGTGTATTGGGCGTCACGTATGTGTGATGATGTGGATTTAGTCTGAAAGAGATTTTTATCAGGAGACAATAGTGTTTTATAAGTTCATGTTAATTGTCTCGGGTAACGAGGTGTTTTAGACTAGACTACGTGTCCAATGAAGTTGATGGATCGATCATTTGATTATTAAGATTATGTTTTGGGGATTTGTATCCTGAGTACGTGATAGTACATTTTCTGGTTTGTGTGACTCGTGCTTATACTATTGTTGAAAGATTTTTTGTTACCCATTTTGAGAGATGTTAAGGATGATGAAACTAAAGGTTGCTATTGGTAATCGCTTGTACAGTTATGTGATGGCGTACCTACGTATTAGTTAGCATGGGAGTGGTTGTCGGGAATGTGTCAACTTGGATTTGGGACTTAATAGGTAGTAGTCGGGATTCCTTTGTCTCAAGTTTCGTGTATCCTTTAAAGGATGAGTTGAGGTTGGATGTCATTGGTTTAACGACTGTTTCTTTATGGGCATTGGAGCCTTATGTAGATGTGTAGGGCGTGTTGGTGGTAGGGTGTCGTGTGACAAGTACCAACATAGGGTGGTGAGCATTGTATTGCCGGGGGGCAATGGTGTGTGATTGCCTATTGACATCCGGTGTCAAAGGCAATAAGATTGTCAGCTCATAATCATGCGAGTTATGTGTAGTGTTCTCCGGGAAGGGGAACGATTGTAGGTCTCCATTTTAAGGAGGGTAGATTTCGAGGACGAAATCTCTTTAAGGAAGGTAGATTGTAATGTTCCGAATTTTTCTGCATATTTTCAAAATTTTATTTTATTTATTTTCGGCGCCTCATTTTGCAACATGTCCCTGAGGGCCTTTTTGGTCATTTTCTTGAGCCAAGGGTTTTAGAAGTTCATTTTAATTATTTTAAGTCAATTAGAGGTGATTTTTTCGAATTTTTATTTTATTTATTCCATATTTTGAAAGTTTCCTCATTTTGAGTAGTTTTCTAACTATTTTCATCTATCCTTTTTGAGTAGTTTTCAGATTTTCAGCAGCTTTATTATTTTGATTTTATTTTATATTTGGTATTTACCTAATATAAGGCTAGGATTGGAAAGGAAGAAACTCTAAATAAAGCCTTGCAATTGCCAGGGTTTACAGTTTTGTGAATAGATTATTATTTTTACAGCAAATAAAGTTTGCTTTGCAACTTCGCAATTCTCTTTTCTCGAGCATTATTCTTTTATATCATTTTAATATTGTTGTGAAGACGATTTGATCATATCCTCTCAGTTATCCGGCATCAATTTGGCGACTTTGAGGAGGAAATTCCTGAATTTGAAGGATATGGAAACATATACACACATACATGGTTTCATTTTATGCTTTTACATGACAGCCTCCTTGCAACTCTTTCAAAATCTAAATCTTGGTTCAGAATTGCACACTTGTTATATGTCCTGATTCCCCTCTGTTGCTGTACTCTTCTGGATGATTATTGTATAAGATTTCTCCATACTGAAAAGCTTTTGAATTTTAAATAATCAGGAGGTCTATAAATTAATGCTGCAGAGTTCTGTTTGTTTCAGACCGACTGAAAGCTCTAAATAACATATTCAGAGCACAAACTCTACACAAAATCTTTTTGCAGGTATGTCTTAACATAAGAAGCTTAAGGGGCTACTAAGTAACAGGTTCAAAGGACTTCACGAAAAGTTATTTCTTTTGCTCTTTAAGCTGCAGAAACTGCTGCATTTCGTGTCGCAAGTTATGCTCCATTTGGTAATTCTTAGATAACAGAACAAGTTATCAGCAGATAACTAATACCAGAAGTACTTAAAGCTTCTACATCTGGAACTATATTAAGATGTTGTAAATTTGATCGAAGAATCGACTTAATGAGGAGTCTTCTTCATAAGAATCGAGTTCATCCAACTGTTGTTGATCTGAATTTTAACCTAGTAGAGGTGTCCTAGTCATTCACAGCTGTCAATATTGCTTGCAGTTTGGTTGACCACTGCTATTTTAAAGCTCTTCCTCTCCTTTCAAGTACTTCCATCAGATTGATCAGAATACTTCGATGTGAAGAACATGATGGAGGATAGGATCCTGCTCTAGTTCTAGGTTAATTTACAGTAATTACCATAAGGAATTTAGCGAACATAAGCCGTATTAGGCAATCCAAATGCAAAATTTGCAAACCAAACACAGAAAAAGGAACCGAAAACAAAGGCTCTGACCATGTTAGACTACCATTGCATTAAAAGTTCTATGAATTAGACAGGGTGCAACTTAATTATTCATATTCTCTAACACGTCTCTCACGCGTGGCCAGGCTCTTTATCATAAGAGGATTAACATGTACATCAATTATATATGTGGCTGGAAATTTTGCCAAAGCAAAGGGTGAAAAGTAATTTAAATATTTTTCTACTTCTAGGTTCTGTACAGATTAGGGTTTTCTCATGGATACGATATAACAAAATTGGAATGACAGATAATATACTCATGAATAACTCTCTGTTCAATCAATTGTACAGTTAAAAGACGGCACAGTTACCAGTTCTGAGCAGAGGAAATGTAAGATGATGTCGGAAATGCAAGTTTCCGAGTCAGAAAATATGTCGAACATGAGTATTTCAGAAGAGAGATCCATTGGAAAACTCTTTCTCCGGTGTTTCCCATGTGAATATACTCGTTGGAAATGGCTGGTTGGAAATTTTGGACAAATCTCCCATCAAATGATTGAAAATGGTTTCCCTCGAATCATGTTTCTCGGTAGAGCAAGAGTAGTCCTAAACCACTGCCCTTGATTTATGAGGCAAGAAGTAATCCAAAACCTGTGTTATTGACAAGGATTGTTGAATGCAATACGAGAGTTTGCACGAATATTTACTGCAAAGAGTGATTTCTTCAAACAAGGTATACAACATACTGGTGTGACAATATTTGCACAAAATGACATTCTTGATATGCAATGTAACCAGAAACTGTGCAGTCACAGGAAGACTATCACCATGAAAAGCGAAAGCATGACAATTAAGGGCACGGATGATAATGATGATGACGACAAGCTTGGACTCGGAGAATTCATATGGCCTACCCTATTCATATGAGATTAAGGCAAGGATGATAATGATGATGACGACAAGCTTAACGTTCATAACCGTATGGCCTATTTTGAAGTGATAAAAGACCTTGTTCATAACCGTAGGGCCTATTTTTTTTAATTAAAAAAAAGAGTGATGCAACATATCTAGTTTTTATTACACTTGATCTTAGTTATAAAGACGATAAGTTTCTATTACACATAACACCTCAGAAGGACCTGAAGGGCCAATTTTGAAGTGATAACAGACCTTGTTCTATGAGAGTGAGGTAATGCATCTAGTTTTGGTTACACTTGATCTGAGTAAGAAAGATGAGAAGTTCCTATTACACATAACACCTCAGAAGGTCATGAAGTTCAGCACTACTTTTACTCAATCTTCATGTTTAAATTCATTCAGTCAACTGATACAATTTTAATAGTAGAAGAATATTGAAAGATACAGAGGTATATGAGAACTATCACCTACAATTTATCTCTAACGAACAAATACCACATCATACCCACACACTACTTCAGCTATTTATGTTGGTTACTGGACCTCTAAACCAGTGCCTAGCACTCAAAATCCACGAAGCAACAGTAAGAATGAATAGTCCGCCGACTGCAACAGGGGTATAATTGAGGGTCTGATCATCTATTGGGTAGTGTACAGGTAAAGAGAAGAGCACGGAGATTGTTGCTACCCAGAGAACTGCAATCCAACCAATAACGACCCCATAACGGCCCAAGTGGAAAGGCCCTGGAATAAAAGACTTGCGTGCCAAAGTCACCCGAAAGAAGATGGGAAAGGCATATGCAATATAGAGTCCTATTGTTGCTACTGATACCATGGCTTCAAATGCCACTATGCTTCCGAGAGACTGCCAAATATTTGCCAAAAAACATGGAGAATACCATTAGCAGTTGAAGGAAGAAGAAAACACAAGTAGTTGCAAGAGGGGTCAAGAGTTCAACATAAGAATGTCTTAGCAAGGATCAAAATTAACATGAATCTTGAACAAATTTACACCATATTATTATTAGTCTTTTTTTTTTTTTCTTTTCTTTCTTGCTTTCCGTATTTCATTCTTTCTTCTTTATCAGTCTTACCACCTTGACCAGGGGCTTAGAAAGTAAGACCCAAAGCCACCAAGACAGAGGTACACCAGTGATATTATTGTTCATTGCATTATTTGAGAATTGAGAAACTTCATTTATACCATTTTATCACAGATATATAAAAATATGCGTGTAAACATGAATACACACAGCAAAAAGAGAACAAAAAAAAAGAACAAGAAATGAACATGTAACAAAACTCTTAAAACTAGTAAAACTAATTCATTTCTCGAGTATCTTAGTATAAATTCCATATGCACAAAATTAGTAAAAAATTAATAATAATAAAAATTAAGAGAAGGTAAAATTCCTTCCAGTTGCATTAAAAAATTTATAATATCCTTCTATGCACATAATTTGAAACAATTTTAGCCTCCAGAACGACCGAAAATTTTGTTAGTGATTTGAAAGAATCTCTAAAGACATTAATGGAAAGAAGGAGATGTTTATTTATAACGTCAGAGATGATTATGATGATGCAGAAGATAATAAGATATGAGATGTCCATACCGTCAGGGCCATGCAAAAAGCTATAAAAGCAGAGAGCCAAACTGCATTTATCGGGACCTCATGCTTGTTTACTTTATGCCAAAATGATGACAATGGCATGGCTCCATCTCTTGAGAATGCATAAGCCATCCTGAGAATTAATATATAGCATGTAAGTGGCTATGCAAGGAAGATCCTGGTATATCAAAAAGAAATCGGCAAACACTCTTGTTTACCTGGAATTGCTAGTGACTGAGCTCATCCCACAGAAAAAAATAGCAACAGCAACCACTCCCAAACAAATAATCCCCCCAACACCACTGCCATATCTACTCTTGAACGCAAGATAGAATACTTCTGCAATGGCATACCCACCAGCATCGTTGTCTGTGTTCAAGAGGTATGGGATGTTGGTAACTGCATAGGTGATACCAATCAAGTAACCCCATCCAACAACTATAGATATGCCAATGGAACTAATTATTCCTCTTGGTCCATTTATATCTGCACTCTTAGTTTCCTCGGTCTGGGAGCAAAAGTTTAAAGGAAACAGGATGGCTTGGAATTAGTTGTCTGGTTAAACATGAATAAAGCAGCGGAAATGGAAGGAATTTAACTCCCAAAAATGGAAAATAAGATTGCTTAGATTAGGTACCACAGATAAATTAGTAATTTTGCAAGTGAAATTACATTTCAGTTGCCGTCTTGCTAACTGTGTAAGGTTGGACATATTTATATATGGTCAAGACATGACTAGCAAAACAGAGTAGACTGAATATCCATTATATCATTCGTTTTTATTACTAAACAGAACAGTATATCCATGTGAAGATTAGCACCACCAAGATTCCCACAAATTCGTACTCTGTGAAGGTCTTGCATTTCACCAAGAATTAGTATAACAGGAGTCAGCTTCTTAAAGATTTTGAGGTTCACAAGTCAAGCTTGAAACTATTTTACACTCTTCAGTCTTCAGTTATCTAACCAGTGAGAGTTTCTGATATGGCAACATACAAACAAAAAACTCACCATATGGGCAGATGCATCATACCCAGTTAGGGTGTACTGGCTCATCAGGAGTCCAAGAACAAATATGTAGAATTTACTGCTGATTCCATCCTCATTATCAGCATTGAAATGAGTGAAGACAAACTTGGCACTAGCCTTCTCCTTTGCGACCATGGGAATGAGAACCATGAGAACAAAAACACCTAAAATTATCAACATCATTGAAGGTCAGATCTATCTGAAATGGAACAAGAAGAGAGGGGGCTGGGATATTATTCATACCTACGAGGTTCCATGCAGCAGCAAGCTGTCCAAAGAAGGACAACCACGAGACAGGGAGACTGTTTAAGATGGCATGTAGGAGCAAAATTCCTCCATGGAAAGCAATAACTACATATTTAGAGGCCTTATATCCCCCACCATTTTTTCCACCTGTGCTGAGGAGAATAATCACCTGAATCAGCGTTGCGAGTGAGAAATCCACACTCGTCGTAACAGCCCACTGCATTAGAAAAAACATGTATAATTAGAGCTTATAACAAAGAAGCAACTCAGCTTTAAAAGATTTTGAGCTTTAAAACAGGGGAATTCTCAAAATTACCTGACCAACAATGTTGAACCTGCAACAAAGCAAAAGGTTTTTTATTAGCTTTATACATAATGAGAGATGACTAAACACCAAGATTCCATGATTAAGAATGAAGAAGTCTTAAAAATTAGATAAGATATAGAAAGAAGTTTGAAGAAAACCAAAAGAAGAATTTTGTATGAACGAATATGATATTTACATTTAGAAACTTGTGCACTATGCTACTACTCAAGCCTCTTCTTATTTAGTTCCCATCATACTTTAAATCAATATGTTTAATACCATTCCCGCCCAAAAGAAAAGTAAATGCGGACATAAGAGGATTGAAGTACCCAACTCTTTGCATCGAGCATATCTGGGCACTAGTTCTATTTCTAAAATTAAGAAAATGAGGTAGAAGATGGTACTGAATCCTTAATTTACAGCTTAGTTTGAATTAGTAAGAAGCTTGTGAGGCTTGTTCACCTAACAAGAAATCCAGGGGTTGAATTTAAGTCTATAGTGTGATTACAAAGAAGCAGGCAGATGCTTTTCCTTGATAGAAGAAAATTTTGAGAACAAATGAACAATAATACAAAGCCATTTCAATTTGTATGACAACTTATTAGAACAAAATACAAAGCCATTTCAATTTGCATGACAAATTATTAGAAGAAATGAACAATAATACAAAGCCATTTCAATTTGTATGACAAAGTATTAGGTAGTATTTACTATTCTTCAGATGTGTTGGGTTGGGGATATCCTATTGGGGGTATCCAATCTAAAAGTTTAACCCATTATGTACGCAACAATTCCCCCCTCGAACGACGCTCTCCACATACGGTTCTTTGGAACCGGCTTTGATAGCAGTTGCTAGTTGTTAGGTTGGGGGTATCCAATCCAAAAGATTAACCCATTAGGCCGAGTGACCCCTTCCCCATATAAGTCTCAGATTTTCTTATTCACCAACCGATCAACGGATGTGGGACTTGTTCCGCTACCCAACAAGAGACTGTCATCACTAATTTGCAGTAGTAAATGTAAGAATGTTGGATAAAGACACGTTGCAAGATCAAAGAATTAGAAACTTCAAGTCCCCTAAATACATGTTTGGTTTCAAAATAGGTAGAGAAATGATTACCATCCCGTGATCCATGAAGCAAAGGGTGCCCACCCAGGTCCAGCAAGCTTGGCACTCCAGTAGTACAGACCACCAGATGTTGGATAAGAAGAGCATATCTCAGCCATAGACAATCCAACAAACATGGTGAATGCACCAGCAATAAGCCACCCGTAAACTAAAACAACCGGACCACCAAAATTGAGCCCAGTGTTGTACAGTGTGGTTATACCAGTAAGCACCGATATGATCGAGAACGAAAAGGCGAAATTCGATATGACCCTGCAATTCTAATCCAGACCCAAAATCAAAAACTGACTTCAACACCAACCCACATCAAGAATTGAGAAAATTCACAAATCAAGAATCGAAAATGAGAAAAAGTCAATGCGAAATATGAGTGTTCATAGTGATAGTTTTTACGAGAGATCACGCTTGAGTTCTTGTTTGTAGCCGAGCTCTTGCAGCCGAGTATGGCCTGTATCACGTGAAGTGTTGCCATTCTGAGCTTCAGACGGGAGTGCTTCATTATCCCAACCCATCTTACAGAGAGTAGAGAGAGAAAGGATAGAGAGAGAAAGAGATTGATTGTGTCTTCTTTCTCTCCGTCTTGGTTGGAGATTCAGATACTCTTTCTTGGGTGGGATGTGGGATTATGTAGAGCAATGAATTGTGATAAAATAAAATAATAAGTTATCACGTTGCTGAGACTTTTATTAGGTTCTCAGTGAGCATTCACATCTTGGTTTGACGGAATCATTTAGTCAAACAAAGGCACCAATGGTATGCTTTTTACTTCCGAGAATGAGGCTGATGATCAGCACTCGCAAATTTTTGTATTCCGTTCTTCATGTGGCAAATTTGATCACCATCATGCCACCTTATGACTCCTTCCTAAATTGTCATCAGATCTTATACTCAATCTCTCTCTGTCCCAACAATATATATATATATATATACGAGTAACTTTTCAACAGTATAGTTTTTAACGTCTCTTTATTATAATGGTTAGGAATATACTATTGATATTTTTATGGAATAGTAAAAACAGTCATCATGTGATTTTATTATAGAATAGTAAAAACAATAGATAACATAAATAAATATACAAAATAATCATTGGGAGGTTTAGTAAATTCACATTCAAAAATAAATAACAATTACTAAGGTTTCAATGTCGAGTTGTCTAAAACTTAAATATATAAAGTGATATATATAATTAGAAATAGAGACTTAGTACCGCGGACCAGTCTCCATTGATAATTTAAATATATAATTAATATGAAATAGTATTTTAGTTCTAAGAAAGTAAGATAAATAAAAAGGTAACAGTTTTAGAAATTTAGTGAGTTATTCACATTTACAAAAAGGCAATCACCAATTTTTTGAGGTCAAGTTGTCCAAAAATTCAAATATATAAGATAGAATTTTGTTTGTAAGAAAGAAATGTAATTGAAAATATAAAATTTTAAAAGGAGATTAGCTATATATTTAGAAAGGAAAAGGAAGGAGGCATCATAGGATTTTTAATTGTACATCTATATCTATCTCGAAGAGAAAAAGCCAACTTCACATCAAGACTAAAGAACCTATTCAATATGATTGAGAGCCCTTGGTGAATCTGTACCATATATTTTATAGTATACTTTTCGCTGTCGGTTATTATGATACCTTTTCCAAAATAATGACTATGCGTGTACCCTGGGGACTTATAAAAATTTATTTAATAAAAACTTAACCATAAGTTGATCAAACATAATGTAACGCTCGAAATTTCAAAACTTGAAGCGTTAGCGAGTAACTCAAAATATAATCTGATAACGAGTTCGAAATGCGACAGCGAAAATCAAACAAAAAGGGTCACTAGAGACGACACCATTTCTAGGACAACAAGAAATCCTAAATGGAGTCAACAAGACTCATCTGGAATACAAATACAGAAGCAATGAACTAAAGGAATCAAACCAATTCCTAAAACGAAAGCCAAGGGGTAAAATGGTCAAAACAATAAATGGGATGTCATACGATGTCCTAAGGATGCATATACATCAATACAATACAATATGAGGTGCCTTAAGTCAAGAAGGAGTGACAAAGAATGAACATAGAACGAGAAAGTAGTAAATAGGGAGCTGCCAAGAACCGGTCGACGTGTAAGGCGCACACGTTGACCAAATGGTCAACTCGGTCGACGTGAAAGGATTTTATGTTGACCAAAACTGGGTCCTCTCAAGAAAGTACACTGCCTAACAAAAATGAGATACCGATCAACATGAACTCCCCACACGTCGACCGAAACTTTGCAAAAAAATAATCCCAAATCCTGAAATATGCTAAAATGGTCCTTAGACTTCAAAGGGTCATCACTAAGCACTCTAATGGACTCCAATGCAAAAATAAAGCTATTGGAAACATGAATATAACATAAATGAATCAATACGACATGCATAGTGTACCTTAAAACATAAGATGCATACATTAAAATGAAATGGCGCATTAGCCTCGAATACATTGTTTTAAAACCATCTCTACATACTTCGAAATAAATACACAATTTCTACCATAAGGAAATAATATACAACATTGAGATTGAAATCTCAAAAAAAAAAAAAAAAAAAATACATAAAGCAATTATACATCAAAATCCATAATTGAGTCTTTAACTCTAAAATCATCCGAAACTATTCCGTTCCTAAAAATTGTTTGTATAATAAAGGTGACCACTGCCGCTCAATTGGATATGGTGGATTATATAAATAAAATGTGTCCTTTGGAATCCCCAAGGACATGTGAGAAAATGATCGACATCTCAAGGATGAAAAGTCATACAACCTAGAGTTTAAGTTCTGTGAAATAAAAACTAGTCATACACCCTAATTCTAATTTTCATAGCATGATAGTACGACTCAACTCAAGTAATCCACATAACCAAGTCATGCATCCAATGTACCCAATTTGTCAAATAATAACCACAATGAACCATAAACTGAAATGAAGCACATTATCGCATAATTAATGGCTACCACGAAACTACAACCACAACAACATCCACATAAGCCACCATGAACTCAACACAATCCCTGAAATCCACCATGACACAACCCCATACGTGAATGCCATGATGCAAAATGATAATGTATGCCCTATGCTGGAAATCATATATAAAAATAAATAAGCGCCCTTCCTCATCCTATGGAAAGCATCTATCCATCAAATATCTCATGCATACAATGCATACACAACCTATGAACTCAATAATAACCATAATGCACCCATGGCCAAAGTGGCACCCACACCATCACCCACGCATGATGAAAATAATGCAATGCATCCCATTGCCCGAAAAATAGTCCAATAACCTCATATAAGCCAACCCAAGTACCCATGGTACATAAAAATACATATATGTATCAAATGCCCCCAAAATGAATACAAAGCAACCCAATCATTTCTTTTTCTATCATGCTCAACAATTCCAAAACCCAATATAGCCCAAGGCACAATTAATAATGAACTTATACCTTAAATGTTGCATATATATCACATATACATCAAGTAAATCAAGGCTAACATATACACGTTGCAAATAAGCATGTTTTACACCTCTCACACCCATAAAACCCAAAGAAATATCAATTTAAAGGCATAAGTTACCCCTACCTCAATTTGAGGTGAAAACCTCAAATGACGCTAAAATGAAACCGCTCCAAAGACAACGCAACTTCAGGTTATGTCGGGGACAACAGAGACAACAACTAATCCTCTTGTGGCACCTCTAAAAATTCAAACCTGAGCTTAAACCAAAAACTCAAAAATGATCCAAATAGAAAACTGATTAGATAGAAAGCAATGCCTTACCACGATCGGCATATCTCTCTTTTATGGCAAGAGGTGAATTACAAAGAAAGGCTCTCATATGGAGCTGAAAAGAACTAGATCTAGAAAAAGAAAAAGGAAGAAGAAGAAAGAAATAGTTGATTTCTCTCTCTCATCCCTCACTTTTATACTAGGTAAAGTAAAAAAAAAAAAATCAACAAATGGGCCTCGCACGACCTTAAAAAGCAAAAGTCATTAAAATGTGCTCAAACGGATAAAACCCGTGAAAGTAAAAATACCGATATAGAAAATAAGGAATAGCAAAATTAATAGCGTCGAAAAATCCGTCTCGGTCGACCCACCACTGGGTCAAAAATCCAAAAATGAAGGAAATGGTTCGGAATACATTTCTAAAAGTCCAGAACTCGAAGAAAGGCTAAAAAGAATCTCGAGAACCCCATACACATATCCCAATGTCATAAAAATAAAGAACATGGAAATTATTGCACACAACCAGGCTCCAAATATGTGAATTTCTAATAACTTACTTCTAATAACTGGGTACATGTATTTCTAGAACTTTATCATTAAGAGAATGAGATCATAAATCATAATATAATATAATAAATCATATCCCATGTGCATCACATGTGAACAAATGAAAAATTATTTTTAGGGTGCAAACAATGCCCCCCACCCCCAGCTCTTTAAAAATGAGATTGGATTGAATTTTTGGAGAGCTGATTGATCGCAATTTAAATTGACCACTAAGAATCGACTGCTTTGAATCGGCCACTGAAAATCGACCATTCTAAGATTCGACGCAACACCAACACTTGGACAATTTACTCGAAAGCATTTTTAAGTGGTTGAACCACTATCCAATCTTCTTTTAATTCATTGACACATTTTACAACTTCTTTCGACCGCTCCAGATTTACTTTCGACCACTCCAGAACTGTTTTCGACTGATGCTGAATTTAGCAACAAATTTGGCCTTTTGCATTATAAATTAGCCTTTCACACTATGGCGGTCTTTAGGTCAATTTTTTAACAGCACCTTTTAACTAGTTGCATCCAGGATTGAATGGAAGTTTTTTCAGCCACTTTAGCCTTTTTAAGGTCGAATAGGTTGCCTCCTATGGGCCAAGTATGTCTATCTGCCATAGGGTGGTGATTTTGTTGTTTCTTTCTTGTTGGAGAAAGAAACTTAGTGATGTTAGCAATATTCAATATAGAGGTTAATTCGGATTTTCCCTGTTGGTTGATTCTCTCCTTTTCATCTTCAACCGTTGTAAACTTCCAGTCCTTCCTGCATTTAAGACAATACTTTTGACTGATCAAAATGATTAGTACTTCTTTCAGTGGCTTTTCTATTTTCTCAAAATTCATTTTCTGATTGACCTCTAAAATCGACCCCTTTTCTTCTAGCCATTCTTGATGGACATAAGGAATTAACTGTTTTTCTTTCAACTATTTCTGGTCGATATCTGAAATTGACCTTTTTTTCTCTGACCGCTCCTGATCAACCATTGACATCAACGGCTTTGGATTGGGCTGAAATGTTAAAGTTTTAGGTCTCCAATATGCTTGTTGATTCCTTTCACCAACTTGTTGTTGATCAGTTATGTACTCCATCGACGCTTGTAGATGAACTTGTGGTAATAGAATCATTGGCGCCATCTGCGATCGATACTGATAATACATATGTTGTTGCTAGAGTGGCTAAAAGTGTTGCGGCTGATAGAAATAATTGTGAGGCTGAACAGGCGCTACAACTTGTGGTGGTGTATTAATCCCACACTATGGTTGACACATATATTGTTGATGTGATTTTGCCGCTAAAGCAGCAAGTGAATCACAAAAGTTTTTGACCGAAATGTGCAAATGATCAATTGTTATAGGAATTTCATAAAAATCATAAAATAACATGAAATCGCCATGAATGTAAATCCAGAAATTTCGGCGCTTTTGGTTTTCAACGCCTCTGATTTCTTTGAATTTTACCGCTTTTCATGATTTTTTTTTTTCAACATTTCTGATTTTTCTGATTTCCAACGCCTCTGATTTCTCTT